CTTTGAGTTTCTTCAGAGAGTGGTGATGAAGATAAAACCAGACCAAGCATCTGCCTGAGAACATGGACTAAGAAACAGAATCCTGAGATACAGACTGTAACACCTGCTCCTCATTTTCTCAAGATTCTCATGTTGATATGGTTCCTGTCAAGACTTCATTGTTCTCTTTTATATGCACTTTCAGCACTGTTCTGTACTGTGGAAAAAAACAGCACTGTCTCACAATTTAAAACGGTTAATTTTGAGAATGATAGAGGGGACAAAACACTGATCTTCCCCACTTTTTTATTGGATGGATTGTGAGAGCTGATAGTCTCGACTGTTCGAAGTCTTGTGACGTTAGAAGTGGAGTACTTAAGACAACACAAACCAGCCTCAAAGTTCTTTATCTTTAATGGAACAAGACTGTAATGGACTTGGACATTTGAGTTTTGTGCATTTCCTTTTCAATATTACTACTCATTAGTCACCATGTTGTAGAAATCACTAGCATTTTACTGATTACAGCTGATGGTTTCAACTGTTCTCTCCTCAGACAGACGTTTTTCTTTATTACATTTTTTGATTGTTAAATGCAGTTGTAGGCAAACGGTCTCAAGGTTTATATCATCTAATTTAAATGAACTGATTGGTATAAGAGTTGGTTGGGTTGACCTCGCTCTTCATAGGTGACTATGTTTAAATACTGTTAGAACATGTTAAATTATCATAAATATGGTCTCACTTTGGCACTTGTGTAGTCTGAGATAAATGTTTTCATTGGCTTTTAGGCTTGTTGCATCAATTACAAGTGTATCTGAAGGAGACGAAGGCTGTTAGTTGAGGTACTTACAATAAATTCTTGAATACATGAATTGTAAGTTCATTCATTGTACTCTTAAGAAACTGGTGAACTTGCCATTATTAGTTGAGATAGGGGATGGAAATTAAAAACACAAGTCTACTTAATTTGAAATTGTAAGTTCAATTGCTGCCTTAAAAACACAAGTTAACCTAACTTCAAAAGGCAATTGGTATGAATATAGTCAATTATCTTAACTTAAAAATGTGAGTTGAAAGGGTATAGACTTGCATGTTTGTTTGACAAAAAAGAGTAAGTTTCATTGACTAGACAATGTAATACAGATAGTTGATTTAACTCACAGTATCAAGTTGAAACAATAAATGATCATTCATTAAACAACTTCCTTAACTTAACTTACAGAGTTGAAATAGCTTAGATTTGTATGTTTGTTTGACAAAAGAAAGCAAGTTTCTTTGAATGAACAATGTAATATAGGTAGTTGGTTTAACTCACAGTATCAAGTTGAAACAATAAATGATCATTAATTAAACAACTTGTGGAAGGTAACACCATGAGTTAAAATAAAGCTTTTGTTAAAGTTGAGTTTACTCACATTTTTAAGGCAGCAATTGAACTTCAGTTTTTAAGTTGTACTGTAAAAATTATCAAGGTAGTTTAACTGAATGCTCCTGTTTATTATCTTCGACCCACCTTAATGCCCATAGAACTGCCACCAGCTCTGCTGTGAAGACCAACATATGATCTGGAATCTTACACCCTTTTTTATAACCTATTTCTGGTAGGCTTACACCAAAAGCAACTTTACCGCTCTCTGGATCCTTTGACCCATCAGTATGGATTTGTAGGTCTCCCCATATTTGACACATCCAGGCTTTTATCTCATTCACTATAGCCTCTGACATATTTATTTTGCTTGTTTCCATAAAATATAGGTCAACAATGTGATCTGGGATCAACCATGAAGGTATATGAACAACCTATTGGTGGACATACATTCAAATTCACAATACCAATTTCCTCTGCCATAGATTTGAGTTTTTCTGTAAAGTTTGTTTTGATCCTTCTTGCTGTTCCCATAAACTCCCAATGCTGACTCAACAGGGTTTTTGTTGGTAGTTTTTCATTCTGTCCTTTTATTTTCATTAAATACTTCAAACCAAGTTTACATCTTCTTATTTCTAATGGCATCTCCCCTGTTTCTATTAATAGTGCCGGTAGGCTATTGGAGTTGTATGAAACGCCCCACTACACACTCTAAGGGCTTTTGCTTGGACTCTATCAAGTTGGCTAATCACTGAAGGGGCTGCTGACCCATATACCACACAGCCATAATCCATAGTTCTTATCATTGCTCGGTATATCATCATCATCATAGCTTCACTATCAGCCCCGTGGGGAGAGTCTCATCTCCTTGTTGACACTTTAATTGAGGGATTCTTGCAGTGATGACTGATTACTCTCACCTGTGTTAGGGGGGTGGGGAGGATGGGACGGGGATAAAGGGGTGTGTTGAACGGGCCGATGGGAGTGAGAGAGAGACTGAACTGTTTGCGTCCATGGCTGTGGTTAGGCACGCGGCAGGAGCGAGCTGTTCGCAACTTTTAGTGTTGCCGGTGTTATGCCGAGTTTTGCATGCCTGCCGAAACTTGCATGCACCTCCAAATATGACTTTTAAACGCTATAATGTTCTTTGTAGGGTCCATCAATGGTGTTAAATGATTCGAAGTATATATTTTATGAACGCTTAATATTTTACCTTTAATATTTCAATACATTTAGTAGAAGTACCATTCCTTGACATTCAGTAAATATAGACTAGCCTATGTGGTGTTAACGCCGTTTGATCAATTAGCACAGCAAAGTGTCTGAAAAGGAGCTAAAGAGGTGGATGCAGAATTCGGCAGATCAAATTTTGTAGGCTACCTGCCGAGATTTGCATCCACCTCTTTTCTCAGCATAAATGACCGTTATCACCTGCGAGGTGCGGCAGTGAAGACAGCAGGCAGGGGTCTGTTCCTGTGTTAGGAGGGGAGGCACGCGCCTCCTTTATGTAGAGAGGGATCGGGATCTAGTAAGTACCTGTGCTTTACGGACGGAAGCTGCACGAGGCCGCACACCCTTCCACGCCGACACGCCAATCCAAGCGGAGTGTCCGCAGCCGGGGTCTGAATCTGAACGGAGTGACCACCCCACGGGGCAGATAAGTTTTAAGCTTATACATTTCTGGTGTTGTATGTTTTGTGTCTTAATCTTAATGAGTTATCTTAAATAGGTTTTAGTAAATTGACCCACGTTAGAAGTGTCCCTTTGCACAACAGGCAACCCCTCGCTGGTGGGAAAGGGGCCCTCTGCCTCCCCCTATTGGCAGAAGTGGTTCTGACCAGCTTGTGGTTTGGAGTGGTCCCTATTAAATGTGGTGCATTTTTATTTGGTGTCTCAGTAGTTTGCAGTGTACAGGTTGCGGTGCATTTTGTTGTGATTTTCTTAGTGTGTGCAAAGTTCCCTTGCAGTACTATCGTAGGGTGGCATTAGGGGTTGACCTTTGTGAGGGCTCTCTGCGTGTGGTGTCTAGATAGATAGATAGATAGATAGATAGATAGATAGATATAGATGAATTTATAGATAGATAGATAGATAGAGATAGATAGATAGATAGATAGATAGATAGATATAGATATATAGATGAATTTATATTTCCAATAAAGATTGTATTTTGTATTACATTCCTGTCTCTGGTTATGTTATCTGCCTCTGATGCCGGACCAGACCGGGTAAACAAAGGTGGTGGCAGTGTTGTGCTGCCTTTAAAAGCTTTAATAAGCAACACTTATTACAATATATGACTTGCAATCACCGATCACATACAGTATATTATACACACATTTCTGTCTGAGCTAAAGTCTGCAGTTACAGTCTCTGTGAACATAATCCAATTTAAAAGATTTTTCACACTTCAGCAACAAACCTTTTTTTTTTTTTTTTTTTTTTTTTTTTTTTTAATGGCTGAACTAATACCTAATTTTTTTTTTTTCCATAATAAGTCAAAAAGTGAAACTATGTTCTGGATTCACTTCATATAAAGTGAAATATTTCAGGCCTGTTTGGTTTTTTTATTTATTTTTTTAATCTTGATGATTAGGTGTTACAGTTTGAGTTAAAAATAATTATCTCAATATATTAGAATAATAGAATGGCTAAATCTAGACCTTCTGAAAAGTTGAAAACTTCTATAGAAGGCTCCTTTTGCACGATTTTACTGCATCACGGTGGTGTGGCATGGAATCAGCCCGGAGCACTGTTGAGGTGTTATGGAAGCCCAGGTTGAATTGATAGCAGCCCGTCTGTAATGTTGGTCTGGTATCTCTCATTTTCCTCTTGACCTGAACCTCATAGATTCTCTATGGAGGTCAGGTCAGGATGAAGAATGAAGGCTCTTCTTGGGTCAACATTTATTTCTTTATTCTAATAATTATGCTACTTACATATTTAAGTCTTTAAAATTATGCAATGTAAAGACTGGTGTGGCGATGGAGCAGCGGATGAGACTCATAATCTTGGTGTGAGAGACCGGAGTTCATTTCCCACTGTGACACATCCACCAATGTGTCCCTGAACAAGACATTTAACCTAGTTGTTCCAGAGGCATGTGACCTGACATGTAGAGTAACTGTAAGTTGCTTTGGATAAAAGCATCAGCTAAATGAATAAAGGTAAATGTAAGATTCCTTGTTATTTTGCATTTTATTTTTCAAATATACTAAATCACAGAATCAGAACAGTAAATAGAAAATGAGAATGATAATTGTTCATTGCAACAATTTACAGTTTGATTGCTAAAATCAGAATAAAAATCCTACATCCTGTTAAAATATTTAGTTATCAATGACCAAGATCTAAAAAGTGTATTGTAAAAATGTGGCTTAACACTAGATATTCAATTTATGACAGTTTCTGGCAGACAACCGCAACGCTGATGCATGTGCACATTGACATGTGACCAAATGAAACTCTGTTACCTTGATTAAAAATACAGATTTCTCTGGGTTTGAAAATTGATGGAAACATTTGGGATAATGCACAATTCAAGAGAATATATAATACAGCTTTAGTAATTTTACTGCAGAGAAGTTACATATTATATCCGTCACGGCTGGCTCAAAACCGCAACAAAAAAGAACAAAACAATGACACAAACTGCAGGAAAGGTACCATTACTTTTATTTATTATATAATATTCAAAAAGTCATATGAGGTTTGATAATCAGTAGATCAGTCATGTCAGCAGGTATGCAAGCTTGACAGAATAGTGAGTGAAGTGTTGTATGGTGAACGAAACAAAAAATAACAAGGTTTCCCTCCTCTAGCCCGCAGTGCAGAACAAAAGACACGCTCTTATAATGGAGAACACCGGGCCCAGGTGGCTCCAACGACTGATGATTTTAACCACGCCTCCTGACATCTGCAACACAGGATGCAGAGACACAGACATCCCAGCAGCCGAAAGATGGGGACGTCACATATCTTTACTGGGTTTTATACTTTTGACACAATTTTATTTATTGACTGAATTAAACTTATGCTATCTATACTAATTATTATAGGCAGCAAGTCAGTCATGTATTATTACAGTCAAAATCCCATCACTGAGCAGACATTTGCAGTTTAATCTTGTCCAACAGTGCAGTGGGATCTTGTAAAGCTGGAAGGTTGTTCCTGTTAAAGTAGGCAGCCAAACCCACAGCAGCAGTTGTCAGAATCAGAGGCCACACAAACGACCTCTTGGGTTTGGGCTCATCACAGGGCCTGGTCTGCATGGGTTGAGCCACTCTCTCCCACTGAGTGAGGATGGCCTGGCGGGCTCCGGCCCACTTTCCTGGCCCCCTGAGACGATACTGGTACGGCGTGCAGGGGCCGAACATCACGTTCAGTCCCAGTCTGGGATCAGTCAGCAGCATCCTCGGGATGTTGGGTTGAACCCCCACCAGCTCTGCTATCTCATCCATGTAGCGGATATAGTCGACCTGGATGGTGTGTCTCTGACTGGTTACATACCTGGAAAAGAGACTCGAGCTGAACATGCTGTTTATAACAACATTTGATACTTTTCAGATCCAAAATATGTAAGTAATCACAAAGTTGAGTAAATCCACTGCAGTACCTTTTAGCCATTGTCTCCTGCTTGCACTGGATGTCTTTTAGCATGGAAGCCACTGATGGAAGCTTGATGCAGCCTGTTTGAAAGGAGACATTGTGAAACCCTGGTTTGCCCTGAACACAAAATACTTCTGGAAAAGGAAACAGTGACAAGACAATGTTGCTTTTTTTAATTTTTATTTACAGAACCTGTTTTACCTTTAAAGACCCGTGTGGCCCATCTGGCCTGCATCTCAGAGATGGGCATAATGGCTCCCAGGGGCTGCACTAGACCAATGATAGCCAGAGTGGGGCGGTCCAACTCAGGAGGGGAAACATACTTGTACAGAGACGCTTTGTTCTCAGACACTGAGACCACATGTGAGGCCAGGAATGGAAAGGAAAACCTGTAACCTGTGGCAAACACCTGCAAGACAGGGGCTCATCTCAGTCTCACACTAGAGGTCAACTACACTGCAGAAGAACAGACAGACTGTCAGTGTGAGTGTGTATACACAAGCAACGTACCACCAGGTCAACATCTTCCACTACACTCCCATCATCAAACTCCACACTGGAACCCTGAAATCTGCGGATGTTGGGTTTCACCTGAACTGTTCCAGATAGGATGCGGTTGGGAAGCTCATCATTGACTGTGGGATGTTGGCTTAACAACCTGAGATTTATATCCACACCAGTTAGTAATACCGCAAGCATGTCAGTCATTTAACCTTTTATAAATCCAGGTCTTTGACTAAGCTATGCTGTTGATGCAATACCTGTGCTTAGGCTTCAAGTTGTACAGACTGTGATCAAATCTCTGGTTGAGTCGTCTCTCTGCCATGCTGCAGAGTAATCCAAAGGGAAGGATTTGGCGCATATAAATCACCACCTTGTCATTAAGCATATCAACAGGAACACCTTTGTTTGAAACTCGATTTAGGATCCAGGCTCCCCTTCGAGTGCTTATATATACCTGTAAGCATATGATACAAGAAGTAAGTCTTAATTTGTGTGCCTCTGACGATCTTTAACTACGCAACCTGCTTGGTGACTCTGCTCAGTTCCACTGCAATGTCTCCTCCAGAGTTTCCTATTCCAATCACTACAGCCTTTTTATTCCTCCACTCCTCAGGAATCTTGTAGTCTCTGCTGTGGAAATACTTTCCCTTGAAAGTGTCAAAGCCTGACAAGACAGATTTGTGACTATTAGACAAAATGCATTACATTTACATTATTAAGAATAAATGCCCCTTAGCTGCTGCTGCAATGAGGTTTTTTTATACATTGGTATTGGGTCTTTTAAATAATAAAAACTTTTAAAATCTACAGCAGCGCCTCTAATCCCCAACAGTCTATTGAGTGGACAGACTGTTAAACCAAACTCCATTCTAAAAACAGGTGTTTTATGGCAGGGCCATATTTTTTTTACAGTACAAACTTTAGTTACACCATCACTAAGAGTCTTTTCTAATTGGCTTGGATCCACAAAATCCGGCACACGTCATTTACTCAGTGACATCATTAACTAACCTGTGATGAAGAGTTTGCCACAGAAATACACTACTGACTGGCAGGAACCCAGACTTTACTATTTTCATCCTCTATGGTGATGGCCTGAAACCACAGATCTCTTTTGGAGAAGTAAAGAAAACCGTAAACTGGGTTTTCTTTATTGTTTGACTTGCAAAATGCAACACAGCAGCTTTTAGGCAAGGGATTTCAGGGCTTGCTTTCACTCAAAAGGGAGCATGGTCGTTCTAATGACTGGAAAGTGACGAATGGCTGCTCTTGTCTATCCTGTGCTCTGGTTCCAACAAGTGCTATGAAGCATTTTCAAAAATATAACACAAGAAAAAAAGACATTCAAAGATGACAGAAAAGCTAAAACATTGATTGTTTCAGACACTCATTAACAGCCTTAGGTTAAAAACGGTTTGAAACTTTTTTATCAGTCACCAAGTCAAACCCTTTCCACGAGAACAATGTCAGAGATAAGAAACAGCCTACATAGCAGCACAGAAGATATGAGTGAAATTGTAGATAATTTATAACGAAACTATATGTGAGGCTCAGAGTGGACAGTCACTCTGGGTGGAACTGCTCACAACCCATAGACATTTGAAACCTGTGATGAGGAGTAGACAAAGTGCAATTTTAAATGAAAAAGTTTTGGAACGAGTAACCCATACTGTGGATCATCACACCAAAAACTAAATTGTATACAGAGCAAGACTGAAGACATGATAATGATTTGCTGTACTCACTGTTTTTATGCAACCATAGGATATTTATAGCCTGTCAGCGGTACCTGGGAAGTCATGAAGTGGCATGTTGGGGTGGCAGTGATGTCCAATACAGATCATCACAGCATCAAAAATGTGTTTCTCCTTTTTGTCTTCCTTGTTCTCCGTCTCAACGTCCCACTGGCCTGAATGAGAAAAATCTGATCTCTGCTTCACCTGCAAGACTTTGGTCTGACCACCAGAAAGAAGAAACAGGCAACAGTTTGCTGATAACAGTATAAAGGCTAAGGTGAGTAGGATGTATTTCTTATACATTTAACCATCTGTTGTGTTGAACTAAACAACATTTTACATTAGAAATTTAGGTGGGAATGTTGCAGATAAATGTAACTCTAGGCATGAAGTTATTACAGCATCCTTACATTGAAGCGTATGTGCTTGGTGAGCTGGAAGTGATCGGCATACATTCGAAAGTAGTCCATGATGAGGGAGTTGTGCATGAAGTTGGGGAAGTGAGCAGGAATGGGAAAATCACTGAAACACATCATCTCCTTGGAGGTGTTGATGATGACAGAGTGGTAGATGCTGGCCCTGTCTGGCTCTGGATTCTCCTGCAACAAATAAAGTTATCATGATATAATACACCTACATAGAGACAATAATTATCCAAACATATTAGATACTGTGCAATTAAAATAAAATCCAACCTGTACACAGTGTGACTCACCTTAAACCTCCACAGACCACCAATGTCATCGCTGCTTTCATAGCAGACAGGCACCAGGCCCTCATCCAGACAGCACTTGATACAGGCCAGACCTGAACTACCTCCTCCAATCACTGCCACACGACGGGTCATCCTGCAGAAGGATGATCTCTGTGAAAGATGAACTGAATTCTGAAGAATGTTTTTTTATGTGTAAACAGGAGGAGGCGTCCACTTAGCCGCAGCCAACAGGAAATCGGCCAAGAGTTTCCCCCACTTTGTGCCGATTTTATCTGCAAATAAGAAAATGTATGCAGTAAAAAAAGAGATCATGAGCAATATCAGATTTTTCTTTATGTTAGGTAACGTAGTTGGCTTTCTAGTGTTGCTTTGACTAGACGTGTGGACATGTGTCTGTTTTTACCATAATCAAAGTTCAACGTGAGCTCATATGTGGCTACTATTTGCATTTTGACGGAGATTTTAAATGCTATGGAAGGCTTACCCAGTGTTTCTCAAATGGGGGTACACGTACCCCGGGGGGAATGTTGTTGTTTTACTGCAGGGGGTAGGCCTATGTGAGATTTCTTTTAGAAATGTTAATAGTAAATAGTAAATCATAATTATACTTTATTGGAAATTAAAAAGTAAGTTGATAAACCACATTTTATTTCCAATATTCCCATTTTCAATGCAATGGTCATCTGCCAATTACTGTAAAACCTCACAGAAGAACAAAGCAACACATTTTTCTCATATCACAAGCACACCTTTCTCGCAAAATAGTAAGTGCAACTTCTCAGAGAAGCAGTTCAATGCTTTTTAGCAGAGCTGGATTGGTAATCTGGCATACGGGCGGTGGGCAGAGGGCCAGTAGCTCAACCTGTAGGGAGGGAGCAGGGAGGTGATTTACACTAGGGACGCTGGGAACATGCAGGCTACCCCCCTAACGGCGTTGCCAGGTCATTTTTTCTTTTTTTGACAGTAGCCCTGACTGTAACTCAACAACATAAAAAATATATAGGCTATTAGGCTAATATGCAATAATCTTCATGACGCAGCCTGTCTCGCAGCTCTTCAAGGAGCCAACGCGGACTTGGCTCAAAAACGCAGGATCGATATGTTAACAATATTACATTTTATACAGCGTTGCTACTTCATCATTTACCAGACTGGAATTTCATTAGGCTAATGAATGATAAAGTGCTGGAATTCTCCTACAGCCTGTTATTCATTTTAATTAGCTACAGGCCTATTTATTCAGCTGTAACTTGGGACTGAAGATGAAATTATTAATCGATTAGACATAGTTTAGGCTACTCATGGACCTGATTGTAAAGTGACAGTCCAAATCAGTAGGCCTAATGATTTTTTTGCAATGTAAAATGTGTCCAGGTTCAAACTGACTGAGCCACTATACTCCAGCTAAATCCGTCTATTTTCACAATCTTTCCTGAGTATACTACCAGACCAGCCATATATATGTATATAATTATAATTACTATCTTTACATCTCTAAAGTGCTCATTCATACAGAAGCCTAATGTCATGGGTAAAATCTATATATTAACAGACAATTAATCAGATTTGCGGGGAATATATTGAAGTAATAATCTCAAACACTGCCAGGTTGTTCACCAGCTGTGAAACAACAGCATGACTCTGTCATAAATAAAACATTAGGTTGCCTTCTGTGGAGGACCTGGATCAGCTGTTAGCTGTAACACACCAGTTAACTTTGCTATGTGGCTATTTTTTTTAATGTATTAATGACCGGTCCAATTATTTTGGAGAGGAAACGACCTCTGTGGTAATTCGGCTCCCAGTAGAACTCTGTCAGGGCTCTGAAGTGGAACAGACCCAGAACAACTCATCAGCTGTTAGCTGTAAACACTAGCAGGACTAATGTTATGATGCGGCTGTGTTAAAACTATGGCACAACATCACTGCGCTGTAAGAATGTTATGCTTTGTTAAATGTTACAAAATTATCAAAATACATAGGCTATGTCAGTACCAAGACTCAAACCTAGAGACCCACAGTTGAGAGTCCTGAACTAATCAGTCTGTTTCCTGTGCTGACGGAGCCCATGCAGCTGCCCTATGAGTGTGAGTGAACATAAGAATCCAAGACTATTCACTCATACGAAAATGAACGAATTAGCCTACTCATTGAGACAACCCGTTCCTCCTGAGTCACATACAAGATTAGGTCAAATGAATGAAACGTTCTTTGAACGACACAACACTACTAAATTCCCTCTGAGGCGGCTGTGAGCTGCACTTTATCAGAGGTGATGAAGTGAACATGTGTGTGGATGTGTGGTGATATTTCTGTCTAATCACGTGTTTTCAGTTTTGCTTTTCTACCTCTGATAAAGAGCAGTGAGCTTGTCTCATCCAGTACAGTCCCAGACACTGTCTGTGTGTCTTTTCCCCCCGACCACAAATGTTTTGCTCTGGTCAGGACTTAGTCTACTTAGCTGACAAAATATTTCAAATGGGGTACATTATTGAAAATGTCTTCATCTTGTGTGCCTCGGGCGATAGCTGAACCGCATTTTGTTATACAGGATGCACGCAAAAGTTAGATCGAGTATCCTAGTTTTAGCACGTTCATTTTCTTACCTTTTGCGACGTGAAGAAGCAAAAGAGTTTTTCGTGCTGCAGCAGCAGTGGTCGGAGTGAGACTGAGGGGTCTCATTGTGCACGTTTATCTGTATCCAAAACTGACGATTAATGATTAACAGACAGGCTCTGCTCACAAACAGCAACACAGCTATTATATAGCTTATATTAAGGAACATAAAGAGAAGCAAAATAACCAACTATCAATGAATGAAGATCATAATAATATACCAGCGACCACATGTTATAGCCTACATCATAATTGTGACCGCATCGTTTTTTTAATTTTATTTCTAAAGCTCTAAAATATGTATTGTTGGCTTTGGGCAAGAATTTCAACTTTTAAATGAAAAACTAGATAGACATAGATTTAAGATAGTACATAGAACACATGAAGTCAGAGGAATGCAATCACCTTATAACACACTTACTTTATTTAACTATTTATTTTAGTTTTTGCTTAATGCTGCTTTGACCAACTATAGTGCACTGATTATTGACAAATGTAGACTGACATTTACCTCTCCTCCACCCTGTAGGGCAAGAGCCAGCAAGACTTAAAAATCAGGCAAAAACATAAAATAAAAAGTGTGCAACTTGTTTCAGCGTCGTCAAGGTAACATGATAAAGTGGCAAAGTGCTGTCATGTTCCTGTTTACAGCATTTTGAGCCCTTCCAGCCTCTTGCACTCAATCACTTTCCAAGTGATGTCAGTAAAGTCTGTGAAGGTTCAGGGCTCAGGCTTAGGGGGGGACATTGGGATTGGGCCAATGTCTTCCTCAGACTACTACAAAACACCTTAACTAACAGATTATCATATGTGTTAGACCTCCTAGACATACGTGACTCCCCTAGTGCTGTGTGCAGCATCATGGTCATTCCTACCTTTGAAAAAGTGGCATTTGAAAGTGACTGTGATAGTGATGGCTCAGATTGTTAGACTATTGAATGGCAATCTATAGGTAAACTATCTGGAGGATGAGGCAGATGTTCATGAGACCACCAATTGGTTTGAGATGTCAAGTGAGGGGTGGCGACAGAGCAGTGGCTAAGGCACATGCCTTTAGTGTGAGAGATGCACTGTGACACATCCACCAATGTGTCCCTGAGCTGGACACTTAACCCTTAATTGCTCAAGAGGCATGTGACCTATGACATGTATAGCAATTAAAAGTATTTTAGGATAAAATTTTTTGTTGTCCCCATGTTGGGGAGACTTGATTTACAGTCCTCTATGGAAGCATTTTCTGTGTAAAACAACTAGGCACTAAACAGGAGACATAGGTCAGTGCCCAGGGGAAGAACATGCTGACAGATATTTAATACAGTTGAATAATAAATTCTATACTCCGAGGTAGAATTGTTCAGTTTCAAATTTCAGACATACCCTCATCAGGTCACATCAGACGAGTAAATCTCAAACTTGACTTTCTAATTGCATTTGATACGTAAAGTTTGAATTCCCAGGGTGGAAAGTCAAGCAGGTGACACAGGTTCAAGTTTTAACAGAAATTTATTATAATCGGGCAGCAAACGGAAACGGGGGTGGTGGTGGTGGGGGGGGGGTGGTGTCTGTGAAATAACAAAGAGAGACAAGATTAGTAGCTTACACAACAATCGATTGTCTGTGGCGAGAGGCCACCTGTAAAATACCCCACCCTCAAAACAAAGTAGTCTACTACTGGTTGGTCTGGCTCACCGGAGTCCAACCAGGACCAAGACCGTATAACCTGCACCTTTACACAGAAGGAGGACGCCGGCGAGCGCCACACAGACACAACGGCCGCCACTGCAGCACAGCACAATCAGACACTCCTCTCTCCATCTCCAACCTCGAGGGTTCCTTTTACCTGCAGCTGATTAGCGGCAACCAGCTGCAGCTGCGAGATTGACGCCACAGCACCGGCACATACCTGGAGAGAGAGCTCAAAAGAGAGAGAACACAGGGACCACAAACACTGACCCCAACACCCTTACGGGACGTAAAATACAAACGCCAATATGAATCTATGCATCAGCCTTACCTCTTCTCCACTTGGAGAGACGGTTAATGGACTAATGCTCCACTCTAAAAATCTTTTCATCAGTCAGGTTCTAACACACAAACAGGGCAGGTTAATGATTTATCCATTTCAGTCAAAACATCAGGAAATAAATCGAACACAAACTTTCCTGGGAGGTGAATTATTGGTCTACCTTTGATTTTTGGAGTCATCAAAGAAAACTAACAGAAATAGAAAATGTAATATAATCTTAATGTTAAGGTGTTACAATGTGTTGAGTGCTCCCTGTTTAATAAGTAAGAACATGGTGCAAAAATGGAAAAGCAGAAGACAAGTAACTTTGCACATAATGAAAATATATTTGCTTTCATGTGCCAACAAAAAACAATTCATTTATAAAGCTGGCAGGATCAATCTGATATAGTCTCTGAATTTACGTGATTAATCTACATATATTCACAATCTCACAAAGGCCAAACTTTGTGTAAGATAAAATGTTATTGCTAATAAAAGATAAATGCTATTAAGGTAAAATGCCAAAATAGAAACCTCTTTTGACTTTTTATTTGACTTTTTGCGCAGTTTGATCATTATATCATTGTAGAAATCTTCTTCGGTCTCAGTGGCTCTGCCCCAAATATTCTCTTTCAACTCCTCCCCAGCTTCTTTAAATGAAGTGTGTTTAGTCAGGTACTAAAGGTCTTCTGCCAGCTGCTTGTACTCAGCTGAAACAAATATTACAAAGGTTAACTGGACAAATACACATAGACATGGTGTCTGAAGTCTGACATTTAAAGGTGGGATCTGCAATTCTAACTCAATACATAGCCCTGGCTCTTTAAATGGGAAAAAAACAAAGTGGCTTGGACTGAGCCACAAAACACTATTCCAGCCATTCCTGCCATGATTTGTGTGTCCGGGAACATTAAATGACTTGCCGGACATTCAGCTTACTTTCTAGTTTGCCAAGATATGCTGTTGTTGTGATGTTAGCGGCAGGAGAGTTGTGAGAACTGCTGTCTGGAGCTGGTGTGCTGACTTGGGGACTGTCTCATCCCCTCTTGCCTCTGCATGTTAACCGCCCAGCAGCAACTGTCGCAACAGTTTGCTAACCCCACACTTAGCTAATGTTAGTTACATTTCTTGCTGGGTTGTTGTTGCCTCTATATGGTGGTATTTATCTTTGGATTCCTCCAGACCCTACAATTCACACACGTGCACCTGACATGGATGAGAAATCTGCAGAACCGGATTGGATTGTCTAAATCAAAGAGAATAAAGAATCCTGTGAGTCAATAGGACAAACTCTTGGACCTGTCATCCACGGTGGACTACAGATAAAGGTTGACAATCTTACACAGTTTTGGATATGTGAGCAGCCTTAGCTGAAAGAAGGCTTTGGAACATCCATTAACTCTTGGAGCCACATACAGTGGGTACGGAAAGTATTCAGACCCCTTTAAATTTTCCACTCTTTGTTTCATTGCAGCCATTTTCCAAAAATCAAAAAAGTTCATTTTATTTCTCAGTAATGTACACTCAGCACCCCATCTTGACAGAAAAAAACAGAAATGTAGAAATTTTTGCAAATTTATTAAAAAAGAAAAACTGAAATATCACATGGTCATAAGTATTCAGACCCTTTGCCGTGACACTCATATTTAACTCAGGTGCTGTCTATTTCTTCTGATCATCCTTGAGATGGTTCTACACCTTCATTTGAGTCCAACTGTGTTTGATTATACTGATTGGACTTGATTAGGAAAGCCACACACCTGTCTATATAAGACCTTACAGCTCACAGTGCATGTCAGAGCAAATGAGAATCATGAGGTCAAAGGAACTGCCTGAAGAGCTCAGAGACAGAATTGTGGCAAGGCACAGATCTGGCCAAGGTTACAAAAAAATTTCTGCTGCACTTAAGGTTCCTAAGAGCACAGTGGCCTCCATAAACCTCAAATGGAAGACGTTTGGGACAACCAGAACCCTTCCTAGAGCTGGCCGTCCGGCCAAACTGAGCTATCGGGGGAGAAGAGCCTTGGTGAGAGAGGTAAAGAAGAACCCAAAGGTCACTGTGGCTGAGCTCCAGAGATGCAGTCGAGAGATGGGAGAAAGTTGTAGTAAGTCAACCATCACTGCAGCAATCCACCAGTCGGGGCTTTATGGCAGAGTGGCCCGACGGAAGCCTCTCCTCAGTGCAAGACACATGAAAGCCCGCATGGAGTTTGCTAAAAAACACCTGAAGGACTCCAAGATGGTGATAAATAAGATCCTCTGGTCTGATGAGACCAATATAGAACTTTTTGGCCTTAATTCTAAGCGGTATGTGTGGAGAAAACCAGGCACTGCTCATCACCTGTCCAATACAGTCTCAACAGTGAAGCATGGTGGTGGCAGCATCATGCTGTGGGGGTGTTTTTCAGCTGCAGGGACAGGACGACTGGTTGCAATCGAGGGAAAGATGAATGCGGCCAAGTACAGGGATATCCTGGACGAAAACCTTTTCCAGAGTGCTCTGGACCTCAGACTAGGCCGAAGGTTTACCTTCCAACAAGACAATGACCCTAAGCGCACCGCTAAAATAACGAAGGAGTGGCTTCACAACAACTCCGTGGCTGTTCTTGAATGGCCCAGCCAGAGCCCTGACTTAAACCCAATTGAGCATCTCTGGAGAGACCTGAAAATGGCTGTTCACCAACGTTTACCATCCAACCTGACAGAACTGGAGAGGATCTGCAAGGAGGAATGGCAGAGGATACCCAAATCCAGATGTGAAAAACTTGTTTCCCAAAACGACTCATGGCTGTATTAGATCAAAAGGGTGCTTCTACTAAATACTGAGCAAAGGGTCTGAATACTTATGACCATGTGATATTTCAGTTTTTCTTTTTTAATAAATTTGCAAAAATTTCTACATTTCTGTTTGTTTCTGTCAAGATGGGGTGCTGAGTGTACATTACTGAGAAATAAAATGAACTTTTTTGATTTTTGGAAAATGGCTGCAATGAAACAAAGAGTGGAAAATTTAAAGGGGTCTGAATACTTTCCGTACCCACTGTATTTGTGTGAGGCCTCATTTTCTGCAATTACTCTGCTCACAACAAAGCAAAGAAACAGGCTGTGCTTGAAAAAGAGTTTGATCACTGCAGCTTCCTCCCATCCACAGAGAACAACAAAGTAGCAGTGCAGCTTAACACCATCTTTCTCACTAAGTAAGAAGTGCAACTTGTCAAAAAGAGGCTGTTCAATGCAACTACAAAAAAGTGGTTTGCCATGAATGTATTGATTCTAATCATTTGAAATATAGCAGTTTTTTCAATTACAAGGTTGTTGAATAAATCCAAAGTTTTATGGAATGGAATACACAACTCATACTCAAGTAACGTTACAAGTAAATTTCACAGCAGCGTGGGATTAGCCAATGCAATGCTTACAAAATAATGTCATTAGGACAATTAGCCGAAGTTAAGGAACTATACTCCATGAACAATGCCAAACAGCTTATGCCCTCTCTGACAATATGTGGAGCGTAACACTTAATTTCTTGTATTCTGGAGACATTTTCTGCACCAATATATGGTAGAAATGTCTTTATTTATATAAAGGGAAACAAAATTCAGGCAGCCGATGACAAATCAGGAAATAAAAATATTACAGAATATAATGCAGTAATCATGAGCCTGTTTATTTGGCCTAAGTTACTTTTTTTGGGACAAGGCAGATCTGTTTCTTCTATCTTTACATAGCAGTGGCTGTTATCTTATTGTGCAAATAAACCTTTCTCATAGCATTTCCATTTGTGATTTAACATTTCTTGTTGCAAGCTATTTTTCACAAAACTTTTACCAAATGCTCTCAAAAAGTGGTGGGTACATGTCCCCAGCGTCCCCAGTGTAAATTACACCTATGACCCTACCCTAGGCCACTGACATCAAGACAAGGCACCAAACTGGATGAGAAGTCTCTGTCCAAAAGAGTGCAGTCCTAGAACAGCTATATCACCCCTGTCTAGGGATGGGGATAGAGACCCGGTTCCTAAAGGACCCGGTTCGAACATTTCTCAAAACCCGAAAATCAGTAAGGTTGGAGTTTATCGACTTGCGGGTCCTATGATGTAACGTTAAGTCTCAAGCGTCAATTCGGTTTGATTTTGCAATGCAATGGTTAAGAAAATCATCAGGCTGCAGTCTCTGCCTGCTGTCTGTCGCCCCTGCCTGCTGTCTGTCGTCTGTCTGAACGTCACTCCCTACTTGTGATGGCAGATAAAGTTACTGAGTTACTTTGCTGTTATAAATATAAATGTTGCTGCTCTAGAAACAACATTTAGCTGTATTTAAAATATTAAATAAAAAACAACCAGGCAGTTAATTTGTACACTTCAATATATGTTTATTTATCGCAAGTGATATGTCAATATATAACGTTATCGCACATTGAATATTTTCCTCATGAAACCATGACAAGATGTAAAGATTGCTGACAGTATTTGGGACTGGCTCACTATGACTGACCTGCTGTAGTGCTGCAGCCTCTGCCAAGGCTGCCTGGGAGAAAGGCAGGGGTAAGAGTGAGACAAATCTATAGACAGGTGTGTGTGTGTGTGTGTTTATATAGGCAATATTGTGATAATGATTTTATAAATTGCATTGTGAATCTGAGATATATTTGGATTTTGATTGACTATATGTCTAATCATAAATCTAAAAAGATGTGTATGTGTTCATTCTGTTGGCCCATAATAACCATGACAGAGCAGCATTTATCTTTCACATTAACATTTCATACCTTTGTCTGAAATCTATATAGGGCCATTTCTTCTTCACGCTTTACTTTGCTGTCAGGAATATTATTTATTTTATTTTGACACTGACATTATTACAGTTTTTTAGTTCATATAATAGGTTTGCTATTAAATCGTCGTTTAAATTGTTTTAAAAAGGGCTGATAAGTAGGCTATAATTCGGAGGAATAAGTAATAAACCTGTTTTACCAATGTTGTTATAATCATTTTAAGGCACACTCCATTTTTTATTAAGTTACTGTAATAATCCTAGTTCAAGTGAAAGTCAAATTACATAAAAAATACAATACCTTGTGACGCCCATGAAACTTTTCTCCCTCAAGCAGCAGGAAGGAAGTGAACAGAGCACCTTTGTTTATCTGTGTGCAGAATTAACGTTAGCTGTCGGCACAGTGTTACTGCGAAATCATTTTACTAATAGTTTGATTATGCAGGCCTTCACAAAATGACCTTTACAAATTTAAAAATTATTATCATTATCATTGACAAAAGGGCATTTTGGGCATCAAAGGCAAAAAGGCAGGTGCTCAAGCACCCATTGCACGCATTGCACCGCCCTCCGCACATGCCTGCTCTGGGGAGAATGTAAACAGCAGCAAGTCCAAGCTGGGCCAACATGGGTCCTATCTTGGCTCTGTTTTCTGTCCTCTGGGCAATCATTGCAACTGCTGCTGGCCTGCTGTTGCACCAGAATAACTCATCTCTCAAGTTAAAATAAAACTTTATCAAATAGTCTCTATAGCTATCACCAAGTAGTGCTTTGAGCAGGCGGCAGCTGGAGCAGGCACAGTGCACTCTCTGCTTTGGGCAGAAAAGCTGTTCTATTGTCCTGGCTGTTTAACATCTCGTGGGCAAAAGTTAATTAAAACGTGGGAATGAGGTAGTATCTTGTGGCCACAGTTGAATAATGGTTGACCTTAAAATAATAATGCGCAGTCACAAATTATTATATTTTCCACCAGTGTCACCAGGGGGACTGATCAAGTGTTTGAATTAGTTTAATGTGCAGTATTTGCACCGACTATCATATTTTTCACACACACAAACTTTACCTGAAGGCTCCTGTGTGGTGCAGACTGTGATAAATGTAGATTGGTTAAGCAAAAGATAAACATTTTAAGTGTATTTTACCTGCATAACCAGAAAACAGAAAAATATGAAAAACTGCAAATTCAAAATAGAGAGTTAAAGTTTTTTTTTTCAATACTGACTGTTTCATGCTGTCTTTGACGTTGTCGATCTTAAATTTTTGGGATTTTTATGTTTGATATTGTGAAACAAGAATGTTGTCTAAAAAAGATACACCATTCTCTTTCCAAATATATTTCATACATTTATTAAGAGAAAGAACACAAGACAGGACAAAAATTACATATAGTAACAGGATACGTGTTGGGGGAGTTGTGGGGGGAGGGTGGGGGTGGAAATGTGGGAGATCTGGGGTGAGGGTGAGAAAGTTGGTGAGGTGGGAAGGTGAGGGAACTGTGGTGGGGTGGGGTGGGAAGGTGGGGGATCTGGGGTGAGGGAGGGAAAGAGGGAAGGTGGGGGAGAAGGGGTGGAGAGGTGGTAAGGTAGGGGGATGGGAATCCTGAGGAGGGGGTGTTTGACGGGGTCTTGGGTGAAGGTTGAATGGGTGTGGCAGAGGAGGTCAGAGGTCAGATGCAGAAGTGGTCTATCCAGTTTTTTTAAAGACCTGTAGGAATCTTTTCCTCAAAGATCTTTTCTTAGTTTTTTTCTGGGCTTCCTCCACCTGATTTTCCAGTTTCATTACACTCTCCATCAAGCCACTCCTGGATTTTGTTCTCTCTCCCTCCTTCTCCTCGAGGGTCTTCTCAGTTGTTCTGATAGACCCCAGGAGACAGGACTTTTCAACTTGCCATTGGCGTCTCTCGTTATCCAGCTTCTCCTGTGCCTGATTCAATGCTGCCTTCATGCTGTTGGTTTCCTCAAACTGCTTAGCCAGTAGACAGGATCTGGACTCAGTCCACTGGTGTCTCTCGTTCTCCAGGTCCTTGTGTGCCTGGGCCAGTGCTGCCTTCGCTCTGGAAGTTTCCTCTTTTTGTTTGGCCAAGCATGTCTCTGCCTCCTTCCGCTTCTCTTTTTCAATTTTGAGAGCTTCCTCTAGCTTTTCAGTTTTAAGGATAGCGTCCCTTTTTGTCTTCCTGTTTTTAGAAAGCTCAACCAGGAGGACCCCCAACTCATGGTTTGCCTCTGCCCTTTGATTTTTGAGCAGTAGTGTCAAGTGTTCTACCTCATTGAGCAAGGCCACCTTTTCTTTTTCTAATGTAGATATCTTCAGCCAATGAAGGTCAATATCAGGGATCTGAATCATACCTTGCTGGGTCTTCTGAAGATAGATTTCCAACTTGTCACTGGTTTTCACATCAGCACCTTGCTTTGGTTCCCCGCATGCCACAGCAGCAGGCTGTGGTTCTTCAGGTGTCACAGCAAGCTGTGGTTCCCGGGGTGTGACAGCCACAGGCTTTGGTTCCCTGTGTGTCACAGCAGCAGGCTTTAGTTCTCCAGGTGTCACAGCAGGCTGTGGATCCCCAGGTGTGACAGCCGCAGGCTTTGTTTCCCCACATGTCACAGCAGCAGGCTTAGGTTCCCTGCGTGTCACAGCAGCAAGCTTTGGTTCCCTGCGTGTCACAGCAGCAGGCTTAGGTTCCCTGTGTGTCACAGCAGCAAGCTTTGGTTCCCTGCGTGTCACAGCAGCAGGCTTTGGTTCCCTGCGTGTCACAGCAGCAGGCTTTGGTTCCCTGTGTGTCACAGTAGCAAGCTTTGGTTCCCCGTGTGTCAAAGCAGCAGGCTTTGGTTCATCAGGTGTCACAGCAGCAGGCATTGGTTCCCTATGTGTCACAGCAGCAGGCATTGGTTCCCTTGGTGTCACAGCAAGCTTTGGTTCCCTGGGTGTGACAGCCGCAGGCTTAGGTTCCCTGCGTGTCACAGCAGCAAGCTTTGGTTCCCTGTGTGTCACAGCAGCAGGCTTTGGTTCCCTGCGTGTCACAGCAGCAGGCTTCGGTTCCCTGTGTGTCACAGTAGGAAGCTTTGGTTCCCTGTGTGTCAAAGCAGCAGGCTTTGGTTCATCAGGTGTGACAGCCGCAGGCTTAGGTTCCCTGTGTGTCACAGCAGCAAGCTTTGGTTCCCTGCGTGTCACAGAAGCAGGCTTTGGTTCTCCAGGTGTCACAGCAAGCTGTGGTTCCCCGGGTGTGACAGCCACAGGCTTTGGTTCCCCGTGTGTCACAGCAGCGAGCTTTGATTCTCCAGGTGTCACAGCAGGCTGTGGTTCCCCGGGTGTGACAGACGCAGGCTTTGGTTCCCTTTGTGTCACAGCAGCAAGCTTTGGTTCTCCAGGTGTCACAGCAGGCTGTGGATCCCCGGGTGTGACAGCCGCAGGCTTTGGTTCTCCAGGTGTCACAGCAGGCTGTGGTTCCCCGAATGTGACAGCAGCAGGCTTTGGTTCTCCATGTGTCACAGCAGCAGGTTTTGGTTCCCTGCGTGTCAAAGCAGCAGGTTTTGGTTCCCTGGATGTCACAGTAGGCTTTTGTTCCCTGGATGCCACAATAGGCTTTGGTTCTCCACGTGTCACTGCAGGCTTTTGTTCCCTGGATGCCACAATAGGCTTTGGTTCTCCACGTGTCACTGCAGGCTTTTGTTCCCTGGATGTCACAGTAGGCTTTGGTTCTCCAGGTGTCACAGCAGGCTGTGGTTCTTCAGGAGTATCAGCAGGCTTCTGTGACCCAGGTATCACAGCAGGCTTTAGTTCCCTGGATGTAACATTAGGTTTTGGTTCCCCGATTTTCACAGCAGGCTTTGGTTTTTTAGAAAGCTCAACCAGGAGGACCCCTAACTCATGGTTTGCCTCTGCCCTTTGATGTTTGAGCAGTTGTTTCAACTGCTCTACTTCATTGAGCAAGGCCACATTTTCTTTTGCCAATGTAGATATCTTCTCCTCCTTCTTGCCCACGAGCCAATGTAACTCGAGCTCAGGGATCTGAATCAGACCTTGTTGGGTCTTTTCAAGGTAGCTCTCCAACTCATCACTGATTTTCTCATGAGCACCTTCTTGTGGTTCGGTTGTCACAGCAGGCTTTGAGTCTTTGGGTGTGACAGGAGACTTTGGCTCCCCAGGTGTCACTGGAGGCTTCGGTTCCTCGGGTGTTACAGCAGGCTGCAGTTTGCGTGTCACAGCAGACTTTGGTTTTGTGGAAAACTCAACCAGGAGGACCTCCAACTCATGGTTTGCCTCTGCCCTTTGATGTTTGAGCAGTTGTTTCAACTGCCCTACCTCATTGAGCAAGGCCACCTTTTCTTTCTCTAATGTAGATATCTTCTCCTCCTTCTTGCCCATGATCCAATGAAGCTCAAGCTCAGGGATCAGAATCAGACCTTGCTGGGTCTTCTCAAGGTAGATCTCCAACTCATCACTGGTTTTCACATCAGCATCTTGAGTCACAGCAGGCTGTGTTTCTTCAGGTGTCACAGCGGGTTGTGGTTCTTCAGGTTTCACAGCAGGATGTGGTTTGGGAGTTGGCTCTGGTCCTGATGTCACAGCCAGCGCTAGTTCAGGTGTTACAGCTGGCTGCGGTTCCACAGGTGCTGCGGGAATCTGGGACTCCTCAGGGGTTCTCTGAGTGATGCTCAGCATTTTCTGAGGCCGAATTCTCTTTTTCATCAATTTAAACTCCTGATGTACCCTTTTCTGTCCCTGCTGAGGGTGGTTCCTTATTGGCTCTCTCCTCTTTGTCTTGCTGGCAGGGTGCTACCTCGATAGCTTAGGGTTCCTCCCTCTCGTCTTCGTTGTAGGATGTTGGTTCCTCAGACTGCTCTTGTTCTACAGTTTACAGTCTACTTCTTGATTCCAGGAACACAGGATGACTTTTTAAAGCATGTTCCCGCCTTTTTTACTATTGTCTTTTCCACTTGTCTCCATACTGAAAATGTCTGTGGTTGCTCTGAATCAAAATGTGTGTCTGTTAGTCTGGTGACTGGACTGATCTGACTGCTGGAAGCTCTGAGCTTTTATGAGCACATATTGTAGAATGTTGCCTTTTGTCATGTCATCTGCATAAAACATTCTAAATTCTTTTTATTATTATTTTCTAATTAATTAAGTTTGTATTTATTTTTTATTTTATTTGAGTTTATTTTCTTTCATTTCTTTCCTGCTTTCTTTTTCTTCAGGCCATAACATGTCCTAAAAAGATTTAACTACCCAGGCAGACTCATATTGATATTTAAATTTGGAATGTATCTCATGTTTTGTTCCCAAATATTTCCATGTCCCATGTGACTGCCTATTATATATGATATCATTAGATTATTATTACTCGTGTTAATGTAAAAGCAGAATTTTATTGTTGTAGTTGGTTGAGGTTGAACTATGTTTTGTCACACTGCAATTAATGACTTTTTTCATTATGGATTAATCTGCTCATCATTTTCTCCATTAATCAGTTGTAAAAGTTGTGAGAAATACAAAGTGACTCCTTCACAATGCTTGTTTTGTCAGTCCAAACCTCAAAATTACTAAAAATGCCTGAAAATAATCAAAAGGAAAAGCTACAAATCTTCACATCTGTGAAGCTGGAACCATGAAATGTTTTACATGAAAAGTGACTTAAACATTTATCAAAATTGTTGCCACACCTTCACATTGACTACATTAAATATATATTTTATAGAACTAACAAGTATATTTTCTTTTTTGATAAACTGAAAAAGCATGAGGAAGATGGAAATACTGATGGGACACTCATCCGGTTAGTGTGCATTACAGACTGTGTTTTAGGTAGATTCATTGTTGCATAAAACTAATTATAGTTATGTTATAGTAATGAAAAGGGGCAAATATTGCACTGCTGTTTTAGTGTTTTGAATATCATTTCAGTATAAAGTGGAAGTCTTGCATATTCAATCTCTAGAGGTGAATGATTTTAAGACAAGATTTGACTTTAAGGTTTAACAAACATTTTCAAGCTTTTAAATTTAAAAAAATTAGCCTTTCCCCCTGTGGTTGATTAAAACAAGGTTACATGGCCTTTTATTGTGGCCAGCCTAAGGCACACCTGTGCAATACTCATGCTGTTTGATCAGCATGTTGATATGCCACACCTGTGAGGTGGATGGATTATCTCAGCAAAGGAGAAGTGCTCACTAACACAGATTTTGACTGATTTGTGAACAATATTGTCACGATCCTGTCCTGAGCTGGTCTGGGTTATATTATTTTGGCCATGCCTTCTCTGTGTTTTGATTTTGGTTTCTCTGTGTCTGGGTTCCGTCTGTCCGACTGTTAGGTGTCATTTATGTTCTCTACCGGTTTCATTAATTAATTTGATTTTGTTCATACTGCTTTAGTCTCTGTGTAGCCTTTATTATTTTATTCCCCCGCATCTTTAAGTTACTTCATATCTGTCTTGTCTCGTATCTCGTATTGTCGTGTGCAAATGCGCTGTCTTGTCATGCTTGTTTCCGGCCTGTTTTTTGGATTTTGTATCACGCACCTGTTTCTGATTTTTCTGTTGGATCACCTTTGTTTTCTTGGACTATGTTATTTTTGGATTCAGCCACTCTGTTTGTAAGTGTGCTCACCTTTGGTTTACTTAAAATTTTGAACTATACCTGCTCCGCACAACGTATCCTGCATTTGGGTCCCACAACCTGCTTCACCACACACAAACCACGACAAATATTTGAGAGAAATATGCGTGTATTTTTATACACACATTTATACACACGTTTTTTTGTGTGTATATAGAGAAAGCCTTAGAGCTTTGAGTTCAGCTCATGATGAATGGGGGCAAAAACAAGTGTTGTGTTTATAATTGTAGGGGATTTTAATATTCATGTGGACGTTAAAAACGACAGCTTTAGTACTGCATTATCTCTCCGTTAGATTCCATTGGCTTCTCTCAGTGTTCATGAACCGACTCACTGTTTTAATCACACCCTCGACCTTGTTCTAGTATATGGTATTGAAATTTAATATTTAATAGTGTTCCTGCAGAATCCCTCTTTATCTGACCATTGTTTGATAACTTTTGAGTTTGCACTGATGAACTACACACCATTGGGCAAAAATTTCTGTCAGAGCTGTAGCTAAATTTAAGGATGCGATTTCATCAGCTCTAAATTGATTATCAAGTAACAGAGGACTATGCTAATTTCAGTCCCTCCCAAGTCGATCATCTTGTTGATAGTGCTGCAGGCTCGCTGCAAATGACACTCAACTCTGTTGCCCCTCTTAAAAACGAAAATAATAAAACAAAGACGGTTAGCTCCATGGTATAATACTGAAACTCGCAAATTAAAGCAAATATCACAGAAACTTGAGAGGAATTGGCGTTCCACCAAACTGGAAAATAAACATTTAATTTGGCAAGATAGTCTTGAAACTAAGAAATAGGAAGACCCTCCGTAATGCAAGGGGAGCTTACTACTCGTCATTAATAGAGGAAAATAGGAACAACCCCAGGTTTCTTTTCAGCACTATAGCCAGGCTGACGGAGTCACAGCTCTATTAAGCCAAGTATTCCCATATCTTTCAGTAGTTACGACTTCATGAGCTTCTTTAATGATAAAATTCTAACTATTAGAAACAAAATTCACCAAGACCTGCCTTCAACTGGCACCGACTTATCTCCAAACTCAGGAACCTTAGAAACAGCTGTAAAACCAGATATGTTTAGACTGCTCAATCTTTACCAACTAACTACAATAATTTCTTCATCTAAACCATCAACCTGCTTCTTAGACCCCATCCCGGCTAGGCTGCTTAAAGACATTTTACCCTTAGTCAGCACTTCTCTACTAGATGTGATCAATCTATCTTTATCAACAGGCTATGTACCACAGTACTTTAAAGTAGCTGTAATTAAACCTCTTCTGAAAAAGCCCAACCTTGATCCAGATGTTTTAGCCAACTATAGACCTATATCTAACCTTCCATTTCTCTCTAAGATCCTTGAGAAAGCAGTCGCCAAACAGCTGTGACTTTCTACATAGCAATAGTTTATTTGAGGATTTTCAGTCAGGATTTAGAGTTCATCATAGCATAGAGACAGCACTGGTGAAAATTACTAATGACCTTCTAATTGCATCAGACAAAGGACTTGTCTCTGTACTGGTTTTATTAGATCTTAGTGCTGCATTTGATACCATTGACCATCAGATCCTATTAGAGACTGGAACATTTCATTGGGGGTGGTGCGGTGGTTAGCACCACCTCGCCTCACAGCAAGAAGGTCGTGGGTTCAAACCCCGGTTGCCCCGGCCTTTCTGTGTGGAGTTTGCATGTTCTCCCCGTGTCTGCGTGGGTTCTCTCCGGGTGCTCCGGCTTCCTCCCACCGTCCGAAAACATGCAGGCTAGGTTGATTGGTGACCCTAAATTGTCCTTAGGTGTGAGCGTGAGTGGTTGTTGGCCCTGCGATGGACTGGCGACCTGTCCAGGGTGTACCCTGCCTTGCGCCCGATGTCAGCTGGGATTGGCTCCATATTCCATAATGACAATACAGTCTGTAACTTTAATTTTACATAAAATCTTGTGCAATTTTTGGGGCTTTTATTGTTTAATTAAGAACATATACAGCTGTAAAAACAACTAAATAACTTTTAAATATAGTTAAACTGCTATAATACAAATAATCAGACTTAAAATTTATAGTAGAGTGCTGCTTTTAATTGAGTTTTATTATATAATTTCACATAAAAATCTTAATATAATCAATATATTGTTTAAAAAAAAAGTATTCAACACCTGCTACTAATACTAGATTTTCCTTTTAAAAAAACGGCAAAATACTGTTCTAAAACAGGTTATCATCTGTGTGTGTGTGTGTGTGTGTGTGTGTGTGTGTGTGTTCATTGGACTTTTGGACTATTCTTGGACCATTCTTCTAGAGGCGCATTTGTGAGGTCAGGGACAGATGTTGGATGAGAAGGCCTGGCTCGCAGTCTCCGCTCTACTTCATCCCAAAGGTGTTCTATCGGGTTGGGGTCAGGACTGTGCAGACCAGTCAAGTTCTCCATCAAACTTGCTCATCCATGTCTTTATGGACCTTGCTTTGTGCACTGGTGCGCAGTCATTTTTGGAACAGGAAGGGACCATTCCAACTGCTTCTGCAAAGTTGGGAGCATGAAATTGTCCAAAATGTTTTGGTATGCTGAAGCATTAACAGTTCCTTTCACTGGAACTAAGGGGCCAAGCCCAACCCCTGAAAAACACCCCCACACCAAACTTTACACACTTGGCACAATGCAGTCAGGCCAGTACCATTCTCTTACCAAACCCGACCTATCCATCAGATTGCCAGACGGAGAAGTGTGATTTGTCACTCCAGAGAATACGTCTTCACTGCACTAGTGTTTAGTGGCGGCATGCTTTTCACCACGTATCCGACGCTTTGCATTGCACTTGATGATGTAAGGCTTGTGGTCCACATGCTTAGGTGCTAGATTTTAGACACCTGTGGCCATGGAAGTGATTAGAACATCTGAATTCAATGATTCGGACGGGGTGTCCCAATACTTTTCAATATAGTGTATACCGTCAGATCACACAGTCCTATTTATCAATGGAGTTATATTGTAAATCAAACGCTGTCAAGCTTTTTGGATGTAAGGAACGGCAAGCTATTGTAGATCATCTGCCTTTTGCTTATTGCTCACACATAATGGAAAAGCTGGTGGTGGAGGGGGAGTGGTTATCTGCTCTGGTCATTCTTGCAGCCATGTAGCCACCAGACTTGAATTCTTCCCCAATTCTGTGGCGAGGGCTATGGACTAACACATTTCCAGAATTTGGTCACCATACAAATTATTAAGGGAAACTTACTTAATGTCTTGCAGACCTTGGATAGATATACTGTTTTTTGTTTGCCGTTTATGTTTTCCAATTGAGCTAAGAAGCCAAGTGGTTTCTTTAGGTCATCCAGAGGTGTTGTTGTGCAAAGTCAGTCGAATCTGAAAATGTACTTTTGGCTTGCATACCATTGCAACTTGCGAACAAACAACTATCAGGTATCCAAGTAAGTTTTTTTTTTTTATTAGGGTAAAAAACAACAGTACCCTAAACATTCTCTCTGCTTGATTTCCTGTGTAAGCAACTTATGCACAGCATTTGGTACAATAGTCTATCATTAAGTGTTATTATTGATGAATAATGTGTCCATAATACCAGTAAAAAAAAAACAGGTACATTTGCCCTTCAGTGCTGCAAATTCACATGTTTTTAATTTAAATACTATTAAATGATGATTGATCATTTTTTAAAAAAAAATAACATAATGTGTGCTTCTCTTTTTTTAGCATAATTATCTTCTAAAAGAACTTTTACTTTATTTAATTTACTGCCAGATTTACATGTTGATTCCTACGTAGTTTTACATGAACTCTAAAAATCTAGTGAGTATGATTGGAGTGCATGGTAAAGTTGAAATATAAAATATGAACTTATAACGTAGAAGCATTTATATAAAAGCACTGACCCTCACCTTAAATCTCCAAAGACCTCTTATGTCATGGCTGCTCTCAAAGCAGGTGGGCTCTAGACCTTCATCCAAACAGGCTTTAATGCTGGTCAGACCAGAAATCCCTGCACCGATCACTGCCACCTTCTGAACCATGCTGGAGAGGAAGGACAGCTGACCGCAGTGGGAACTCTGATCTGATATAGAGGTTGGAACTAGAGTAAGAAGAAGGGTGGAAAAAGAAATGTGTGTGTTCTTCTGTAGTGTTATATGAAGAGGTTTAACTTTTAATTATATGACGGTCTTCACAATCAATCGTTTTTTAGCAATCCTTTGCATATACAGGATTCCTTCTTAGGTTGCTTGAGTCAATCAACAATAATTATTTTAATTTGGGCATGAGACAGATAAGATTAAAGTTGCATCTTATTTTAGAGAGCAATGTCTCTATCCATACCCCATTTTCACAATAAAATGGGAATGAAATTTGAATAGACCTTTTTCAGAGAAGTTTTACACAGGTGTAATGAATATCAGCAATTGCTGTAGTGCATTAATTGCTGGCGCATCATTTGTTTGTCCCACCTGTACCTTTCAAGTCAGAATTTCTGCTGTGAAATAAAACTGTAAATCTGATTTATTTGGGAACAATAAAGGAACAAAAGTGAGAGCTTTGGAGGAAAACAATTAAGATTATTTTAATAAAAATTATATGGTAACAGGATTAAAATTTGAGGAACGTGGTTGAATGGATAGATTCGTTTTAACATGACAAATTTGACAAATACTCTGGGCCAGAGGAGTGTTGTTTAATAATATTTCTTTCTGGTGAAGGATCAACAGGATGAGTAGGACTGATAAAGTGAACATGTCAAAAAGACCACAAACAGGATCTGATCAAATATTCAATGGGCAGATTTGAAATAGTCATATTACAGTAGACTGATAACCTGGCATTAAAATGATTGAATATATTAGTCATGAACTGAGCAATATTTTAGAAAGCTAATGTGTTAATGTAGATGGTGTTTTTGTATCGCATTCCTCGCTTGCAATGCCCATGTGACATGAGGTAATGTTCTACATCCTCGAAGGGATACCAATGAAGATTCTCACTCAACGGCAATAAAAAAAAAAAAGGTTTCCCCCCACTCTATGCATACTTTTCACCTGGCATTC